GTTTAACGCCGCTTTTAACAGTTTTCAAGTTGTATCACGGCGTGTCAGCTTAATGTGGGAGGAAAGCCCGAAGTGATGCAGGTCTCAGACGTTTACCACTTCGGTGAAACCCACGAGCACGGGTATGGTGCTGACAAACCTAGAAACATAATCGGGGGGAACCGGGATTCGAACCTACAATCATAGGTTTCTGGCGTGCCCAAGGGACGCAACTCTGCACAGCGAATCGTTGCGCCTTAAACGATTGGAACACCCGTGTCCCCCATCTTGGTGAAGAGTACATGACGTAATACAAAACCCTCCTTCTTGTGATGCAATTCTGACATTCCAGTAATATCCCATATCGTACATTTATTTAAATTTGAATTTTCCATGACAGACGTTGCTGATAGCAGGACTCATAAACTTTTCGCCAGTCACACTTGGTGGGACAGGCTATCCGGCATGGGCTCAAAGTATTGGATGGATCATCGCCACGTGCCCCGTTCTTCCGATTCCATTTGGAATGGCGTTTGCCATTTGGAAGGAACAAGGTACCACTTTAAAAGAGGTAAGGAAAATTATTGTTCTGTAGCTCATGTGAGTAAATCTTGATTTAAGTTGAATCGAAAGGGGTCTATTTTAAGGTTAAAATGAAGACAATACAAAGCTTTGATATCTTTGATAATTACTCTTCAGAGGCTGATCAATACTACAAAGCCTAGGAAGGAATGGCGACCAGCACTTGATGAAACACTTACCAACTACGAGATTAAGGAGACAACAGCAGATGTATTACTTGACAAAAGTTGCACATAGAGCTACTATCGTCAGTAAAATTGCCAGATGGATGTTTATCATTTGCGCAGATATAAAACGTCAATGACAGATAATAACCAGTCTCGATCATTGGATGAAACTATGTATATAAACACATTGGGTGTAGCAAATCGCGTTATTTAGGGACCAAGGGTAGGGAATTGAATTCGGCCAGGGGCATCCGTTGGTTAATTTTAAACAGAATTTGAATCATCCTATAAATTTGATATAAGTACGGAATGTGTATGTATGTTGTAGTCACTTGTCGTTATAATTACGGGGGCGGTCGGATAGCCTAGTGGTTAAAGCGTTCGCTTGTCACGCCGAAGACCCGAGTTCGATTCCCGACATGGGTACAATGTGTGAAGCCCATTTCTGGTGTCCCCCGCAGTGATATTGCTGGAATATTGCTAAAAGCGGCGTAAAACCATACTCACTCACTCACTCACTACGATTACGTGTTGGCCGTAAATAGTCCTCCAGGGTCATTGGGTCTTTTGGTGTTTTCCTGCTTGAGTGCCCGAGCCGCGTGTTTATCACGTTGTATTTGCCGCGCGTCATGATTTATGGTCTGCGAATCATAATATTGTTGGCTAATGGCCGTCAGCCATAGTGGTATATAAGGACCTGGTACTGCAGCATTCAGTGGCGTAAAACCATACTCGCTCACTCACAAACGTACTTGGGGAAAACTTGGTTTGAGAATGGGTAGATTTAGAGGTAGGTATATTTAGTTAATAGATATTTGAGAAAAGATGCTTTCTTCAGTATGATTGGTGAGTCTGTTTATTTAATATTGTGTAAACTGTTTTATCGTTGGTTATTCATTGAATTCATTATATTCTCCACAAGACTTTGTGTCATCATTTACCCGAAGTCTGATGCATGAACCCAAACCCCGGAGTCTCACGGGAGTGTTCCAGCTTGGTGAATCCCGCCTGAAACCACAAAATACCATCAATTGTTATACCTCCATTAAGAAACTTGCAATTTCATTGGTTCATCCGTACCACGTGACGAAACAATACATTTCAATGTAGATCCCCGAATCACGTGACTGACTCTAACCTTGATTAAAGTTCCATGAATAATATCGACTTGTCACAATTGAATATTGAAAACAAGATGGTTTATGGTTCACAGCTAGATCACTTTAAGGAAATCAAGGACTATATAAAGGCTTCATTACCTTTTAAGTGTATTTCGGTGTAACGAAACGAATGAAAACTCTTGACGAGGTCAATTTGACAAAACAAGCACCCTTTGTACCAGACGCCATCTTGTTTTCTAGCAGACGAGTCAATATCTATCACGTGACAGGATGAGTCAATGCTCGAGGTCAGTGTCAGTAACATGATATTTGGGTCAACATCCAAACGTATTGCTTCGTCACGTGGTACGGATTAAGATTCTTAAAAGAGGTATAACAAAAACCGTTCAGCAACATAAGCCTTTCAGTTGCCATAAAGCTACCATGTTAAATGCAGTGTTGAGAAAATTTACTACTGCACTTGATTAAGTACTCCATTAATAATGCTTTTACCACTATTTTGCCCTTTACGCCAAATGGAATCTGTATTATGAGTTTAATCTACCTTGGCCTTGTGAGTACAGAAAAGATGATCTTGTTCATGTAGATAAAACAAACAATTCCATTTTGTTGGTCATGACAAATCCATGCCTCCGTATACCTAGTGACAACAATTTAACTCAATCTATATCGAGGAGCCAAAGGGAACACGACACAAGAACCTTTGACAGTAAATTAAATTTTGTCTGAATTTTTTTTTGAACACACGTTATGGTTGAAACAAAGTCGACTTCTCCTGTCGGACTCTTGATGGTGTGAGGTTTCTGGTCCGAGGATGAGGCTTAACTCCCTGGAGCACCTGTTGTAGATCACATGGACGTACCATTTCCGAGCTCTTTTCCTGCAATTGGATATAAGACGCTCAGCAATGGAAGGGTTCCATTTCGGATCATTATTTTTTACAAAATGTTCGGCGTATAAATCATCAAGAGTTAAGTTTGAAGATGTTATTTGACATATGTTTTCAAAGTGGGTCAAAATATGTTTGGGAGTTTTTAGATTATTCAAACAAATTAAGGACCAAGCAGGTAGCCATGTATTACCGTATTTCAGATGTTTATTTAAAGTTGTTAATGTCTGCAGCAATGGAGGAAGCCAAAGTGTTGTTTAATAGCTCAAATGAATAATCACTTATTATTATTATGTACAGATTAAAATTAAAAATGCATCAAAGAGGCATGAGTGATCCTGGCACAGGTTGGTTAGGCTCATCATCATTGAGGTATGAATCGAAAAACCGATGTGCAAACCTTTTTCAGAATCCGCTAATTCGCCAAAGTAAAGCATGTTTTATCTACAATAGTTTAACCAAAACACAGTTGTAGATATCAAAACAGACGATTGATAAACATTCTAGGTGTAGGAATACATACTGTGGCGTGACATGAATCAGGTTATCGTTTAATTTATGCATATAACTTGACACGCCTATACAGTCAGTAGCCAATCAACTGAGAGTATTATGAAAACAATGTTCTTTGGACCTGTCATTTACGGCAAGAGGCGAAAATAACTGCAAGTGTCATACTGTAACTAGCCGGAAGAAATATGTCCGGGAGAAGGCAACTGTTTCAAATAACATGGTCAGTTACCGCCAAATTCAAATTTCCCTGTTACAGTAAAACACAGTTGGAAAGATGCCAGTTAGAAATGAAACCCGAAGACATGAAAGTTGAACAGGGAAAAAAACAAGTGAGCGAGCCTGAACGCTTGCTGTTTCATGCTTTCTCGGCCTTCGGTTTCAAAGGGTTGTTTGGACAATGAATATGCATGACAGTCGCTAATGTCCTGTGCATGACGATGCACGTGAGCAGAAAGGGAATTCCCTCGACTGTAATATTGGGATTCCCCGACATTCTGCAATAATAAAAGTAGTGCGACTCGGTGGGCGTGGCTTAATTTTTTTACATCCATTGGGAAATGAATGCAATAACACGTGACCAATTCAGCTAATCAGAATGCAGGAATTTCAATGAACACAACGAAAATTTAATTTTTTGGGATTATAAGGAACAACCACAGGAACCTCGATATATGATAGGAATGAACAATACCCTACTTATGAACACACAATACCTTTTAGGAAGTGGTCAAACACATGTTTTATTTGGGATAACACTTTCTAAGTAAAGTACAGAATAAATTACTCTGGTTCTCGTATTTTTGGGGTTGAATCTCATGCGGGATTCGAACATGTTTTTTATAGAAATAGTAGATTACGGCATACATCAAGTCATGAACATATATGTGCCTGTATATAAGTCATAAGGTTTTATCACTTTTACACTGGATAGTCATATTTGAACAGTTTGCATTATAGCCTGATTAACACGTATGCAAATCATGATTCACGTAACTGCCAGTTACAGTATTTAAGGATATTTCTTCATTGCTGTCATAGACGAATCATAGATAAGCGGGAACATGTGGCCCAGTCAATTAGCTGTGCTGAGTTCTTTTTTCAAAGTTTTGTCAAAAAGAAAGACAATGCTATGAACTTACACAATTTATTCACCAGGTCACCTTCACGCTAAGAGCAAACTGATATTGATAAACCACATTTTGTACTGCGCATAGCTTTCTGTGAAAAGAGACAGACGTATGTATTACTATTTGTACTCCTATATACGTAGGGGGCACGGGTGGCCCAGTCGTCTAAGGCAGAGTCGCTGTGCAGAGTTGCGTCCCTTGGACACGCCAGAAACCTATGATTGTGGGTTCGAATCCCGATTCGCCCAAATTATGTTTCTAGGTTTGTCAGCACCATACCCGTGCTCGTGGGTTTCACCGAAGTGGTGAACGTCTAAAATCTGCTGACACGCCGTGGTATAACTGGAATACTGTTAAAAGCGGCGCTAAACTCAACTCACTCACTCACCTATATACGTCTTCTGACATCAGACTCAAGAGCATTCTGTACTGAGACTGAAAATATCACAAGCTGTTTGTACTGAGGTACGTACATTGAAGAATATCAAATTTGGTTTTATTGTTTGGTAGTGGTTGAGGATTGCATTTCATATTTATTTATTCGATGTATTTTTCCGTGTTCTAATTATCTGGTCATGGTGGTCGAGCACCTCTATACATGTACCTCCAATCAAACTCTGAATAAGTAAGACAAAATATTTATTGTAATAACAATTACAATTGCACTGTTAGCCAATAATGGGGCCGTGACTTTGCGATTTACATGCTGCAACATTAGCGTCAGGCATTACGATGAAGCCGAAGGACTTTCCGGGGGCAGTCACTGACCCGGTTGTGGCAGTTTTCGGTGACAGTTGAGGTATCTGGCTGTTGACGAACGCCAGTAGTTTTCCATTGAGATGAACCTTCCTGAAATGGAGGTTAATATAATATGTATAAGTGAGTGAGTGAGTGAGTTCGTGCGTGCGTGCGTGAGTGCGTGAGTGGGTGACGTTTTACGCCGCTTTTAGCAATAATCCACCAATATCACGGCGGGGGACACCAGAAATGGGTTCACATATTGTACCCATGTCGGGAATCGAACCCGGGTCTTCGGCGTGACGAGGGAACGCTTTTACCACCAGGCTACCCGACCGACCCTGTATGTCAGTGACTTAGTTGATAGAGTGTCTCGTACCCCGACCGTGTGGATCGATGTTCCATACTAATTTCCCCATACTCAAGTCATTTACATATCGCCTTCACGTAGCCGGCATTATTGCTTGGTGCGAGGTCAAACATCAAACAAACACAAACGTCATAACATGCACACATGTGTAAATATAATATTCTCACATTCGTACCACAGATCGTTATCTGTTTTACCACATATGTCATAAAGCTATGATCCTCTGGTCGGAAAGCCATTGACACGAATGACTGAACGAATGATTGAAAGCATGAGCAGCGATAGATCCTGAACAGATGAGATGACTCAAAATGTGCCAGATAAATATAGATTGACAATGCAAGAGAATAACCAGTCTAGATTATCCGCCAAAACAGATGTCATTTGGAGTAATTAAAGGGCACAATCGATGGGAGAATTATATGAATGGACCACTGAAAATCAGTGATGACACTGGTCGCTAAAAAGGTATACATGTCCTGCCCTACCGGTAGCACCCGCCATTCTCTTAATTTGCACCAACAAGTAAGTAATTTTTTTCCCGTCTCCGGATGTACAAATGACCCAAGATTAAGTAGGCTCTTTTGAGGATCAGAGTGACGTTGAGAATTCGGATGTTCAAAAGATTGAAGCGTACTAAGTGATTGAGTGAGTATTGTTTGATGCCGTGTTTAGCAATATTCCAGCAATATCACAGCGGGGGACACCAGGAATCATCTTCAATCGTTGTACCCATGTGGGGAATCGATCCCGAACAGTTGAACCACAAGGCTACCCCTCGGCCTCCAAAGCGTACAAGCAAGGGGGCCCCCATGGACTATAACTGTCCGACCAACACCAGTGTTGTAAATACTACGTATGGTCCTGAGTGTACGCACCCTGCCTCCACATTCCCCCCATCAGGTGTGAGCCAGAAGACGTCCATGTGATGCTGGCTGTGTAGATGTGGGAAGTGGAGTTGTGCTGACGCCGTGTTCACGTTCAGGACATACACCGTTACACTTCCTGGTTTGTAGTTGTACATGCTGGAAATACAATGAACCAAACGTTTCAGAAACATAAACACGCATTTACACACCTGCACACACGTGCTTGTATAAATTAACTGGTTTTTTTAGCTTTCATCTTGTGCAGTTATTTATTACGTTGTCATGTCATTCGAATAGCTGCATATACAGTAAAACATTTTAGTTCACAGCCCTACAACAAAATATCTGCAAATACAGTAAAACATTTTAGTTCACAGTCCTACAACAAAATATCTGCATATACAGTAAAACATTTTAGTTCACATCCCACAAACAAAAAATATGTTTATTCAGTGAGCATTTTAGTTCACAGAACACAATCAAAATATCTGCATATACAGAAAAAACATTTAAGTTCACAGCACACAAACAAAATATCTGCATATGCAGTAAAACATTTCAGTTCAAAGCAAACAAACAAAACATCTGCATATACAGTAAAACATTTCAGTTTAAAGCAAACAATCAAAAGGTTTCCTTTATGAATTGAAAAGTAAGTGAGTGTGCAGTCATCGGTCATCTTCAAAGTGCTCCAAGAGGTAGGCTCAGTTAACTGTCCATGTTATGTACTGTTCTGAAAGATACTGTAAAACTATGTTTCCCTCGTGTTTTACCAGACAAATGTTCGCTTGATATATCACTTGAACTCACTTCGTGTGTTTGGTGCAGTGGGCATAGATCCGGAGGTTTTTAGTTGAAGAGGGAACATCAAATACTTTGTTACCAACCAACCTCTTGTACAGAACCGTCAGCCAGAAATCCTTAATATACAATACCAGCATCTTATATGTATATATAATGTAAGATCAACCATACTTGAAGATATCAGAGTATTAACAAGTAAAATGCACATTTAAATTAACATTATGTTAGTTCCAAATGTAAGAGGAATACGGTATGCACATCTTAAAATATAGTTTAAAAAATAGAAGCTATAATTACTCTACCAAACGTTCTTAAGCAAATAAAAAGGACAGCAATATTAATGCTTTCAGCAAATGCACAAAAAATGAATTGCATATTAACCAATACGCCAAAGTATCGAACACAATTAAGATATCAAATGTTCTTATAAGTACATGGCATCTTTTATGAGCAAAATACATATACATACACCTTGGATGGCAGTGAAATTAATAAAAGTATTGTCAATTAAACTTACAGGTAGGGGATCGTTGGAGGAGCTTATAAGACCATTCTGTCCGCCGAGGAGGACCTGTCGCAATACGCCTTTAATTCCATATCTAGCCGAGACGCCAAGTTTATCAAGCCACCTGAGAACAAAAGGTCAATGAACCTGTTTTTAGTTACGTCAATATCGCTAGGCCATGCCACAAGTAATGCTTGTTATTAATGCCACGAGATATAAATATAATTTTCCCTACTAAATATAACACCAGAAAATACACAGAAGCTACCGGCATTATACAGCACTTACCTTTAGCGACAAAAAGACAAGATTTGATGAAATAACTTGATGAAGAATATTATTTTGTCTTTAGCATTTGCTTTCCACAAGGGTAATACATATGGCTCAGTCGTCTCAGTCGCCCCAACTCGCTTTGCAGAGTTGCGTTCTGTTTTGTGCGCCAGGAACCTATAAAGTCCTTACAAATACATTCTCTACAAGCACTTTGTCAAAGCTGATTCTCATTGACTATGAGGGGTAAATGTAGTATAAATACCTACTACCCCTTACCATGCACTTTTGGGAAAGCCATCCATTGCCACCGGCACGGTCAACGTTACAATAACGTCCTACCAGACACCAGTCACTCGTCCCTTATATTTTCGCGAGATCTGTCAAACCGATATTTATCATCCAAAACTGGCTCCCACAGGAGATATCGCTTGGATGAGATCAAGCGATATCTACACTGTAGATATTGCTGCAATGAAATTACATCACAATGCTTTGCAGACCATTGTGACGTCACTGGTTACCATGACGTCACAATCAAATGACATCACAAATGGCTCTGCTACTGAAGCTGTTTGCAGTACTTTTTACACTGAAGACACTGCCTACAAATTGAAAAAGTTGAAAGAATGATGTTGGGTGATAAATAAAATCTCCCCCTCGTGTCTTTTGATATCAAATATATCAACACTAGTTGATAAAAGTGACAAAAATGCTCGGCAAACCTCGGAATTTTTCCACTTTTATCAACTCGTGTTGATATATTTGATATCAAAAGACACTCGGGTGAGATTCTCTATTTATTCTACTCTATGATACAATATATACGTAAAATGGTAGATTGTATGGGAAATCTCCTGGTGAAGATGAAATCCCTCCAGAATTTTTTAAACTTTCAGAAACAATTCTTATTAAATACTTGAGACCTTTATTTAATAAAATATTAGATACCGGTATATTTCCTGAAGCATGGAACATTGGACTTATAATACCTATACATAAATCAGGTGTTACCTCTGACCCTAACACTTATAGAGGATTATCCCTGCTAAATGCAACTGGGAAATTATTCACGTCAATACTTGAAAAAAGACTACGATCATGGATGGATATAAACGATTTAATACATGAAGCACAAGCTGGATTCAGATCCAACTATTCAGTAACAGACAACATTTTCACACTCCAGGCCCTTTGTACTAAAATATTTAACAAAGCGAGGGGGGCGAATTTATTGTGCTTTCATTGATTTCAAGAAAGCCTTTGACTTTGTGGAAAGGAAAAAACTATTATATTTGCTCTTACAAAAAGGTTGCCATGGCAAGTTGTATAATGTCTTAGCTAGAATGTATTCTGCTGTTAAGGCTTGTGTAAAAACAGACAAAGGTAAAACAGATTTGTTTACAACTAGATCTGGTGTAAGACAAGGCTGTATCTTAAGCCCACTTCTGTTTATCTTCTTTATTAATGAGCTTGTAACTGACATTTACAAAACGTGCTGTCATGGTGTGTATGTTTCAGAAAGTATTGAAGATATTATGCTACTACTTTTTGCCGACGATGTGACTATGTTCTCATATACAGTTATTGGTCTACAAAGACAATAAGATATCTTAAGAAAATTTTGCACTACCTGGGGCCTAAGTGTGAATCTTGATAAAACAAAAATAACTGTATTCCGAAACGGTGGTATTATACGAAAAAATGAAAAATGGTCCTATGGTTCTAAAAAAATGTAAAACTTGTCACTTACTACAAGTATCTTGGAGTATTTTTCTCCTCAAGGCTAATCTGGTCAATGGCCTGTAAAAGCCTAGCATCACAGGCTTCTAATGCCACGAGAGTCATTTATCATGCTTACAAAAGAAATAGCTACATGTATATAACATTCGAAACAGCTTGTACAATGTTTGATTGTAAGATTGCTCCTATATTACTTTATGGGGCTGAAATCTGGGGGGCAAAATTTATGAACGTATAGAAAAAGTACATACATCCTATTTTAAAAACTATCTTTGTATCGGAAAATATGCCTCTAATAAAGCTATTCTTGGTGAAACTGGGCGATTAAATATGTTCGTGTTTAGCAAAATAAAGGTACTTAAATACTGGTTGAGATTGCTATGTATGAATCCATGTCGATATCCAAAACTATGATTTAAGATTAACATGCTACGAAAGTCAAAACATAAAAATGAAGACTTGAGTTTATATCTATGTACCCACTGTAAAGGGAGGCAATTAGAGGATGAATTTCATGTTTTGTTTTCATGTTCAAAATATTCTCCTGTCAGAAACCACTATTTGCCTTGGTTATCCAATGTCCATCATGATAATCACAGTTTATGTAATCTACTCAACTCCAAAAATATCGACATTGTAAAGGCTTTGGCCTTATACTTAAATCATGTATTCAATGTGAAAAAAGACTACTTGTATTTATTCTACTGACATCACGCGACACAGCAATTATTGTAATTGTAATTGAACTCTAGGCCCAAAATACTGAATAAAGAATCTTGAAATATACGGAAAATGGTAGATTGTATGGCTTGGCAGTGTCGGAATCGTCCAATGGATTTAATATAGTTGGGATCACAATTGAGATATCCTCTGACGTTGGAAACGGCTTTGGTGATTTCATTTGCTTGCGTCAGCATTTTCGAATGCGGTGGATAACGTACAGGAATGCCCTGATCTTACTGATATGCGTTTCAAACCCACATTTAACCCAGGTCACTCACCCACTCACTTACAGGAAACCGGAGGCGTATCTATCAGAGGCGTTGGGGGTTCCTCCCTTGTAAGCTGATGCTGTCTCCCCCTGCCATACTGGCTTTCCTGGCGCAACAGCATGCACGGCGGAAATAGCGCTCTTTACCAGTCCAACAAGACTGTCAAGTGTTGCAGGATTTGAGAAATCAGAAACCTTCGAGGTTTCACCATTGACGTAATAGCTGGAAACCAATGACAAACGATTACAACACTACTACGACTACAATTACTACTACTACTACTTTACGACTACAACATTACTACTACTCCTAATAATAATTATAACAATCAGTTTGCCTGGGTGAGGAATTATTGACCATCTCGTGGAAAGTCATGATTGATGCTTAAGAGTAAGTGATGCTTCATTGTTTGCGAGTTTGCCTATTTAGTGGTATATACTTGATGGAATTTGATAGAAAGTGAAAGGGAGAGCTTGTTCCTGTATGTTCCCTTACTTACTGATAGAAGCTCACGACATCAACGGCGCTTGCCCCACCATGAGAAAAAAATCTGCAACACAAAGAATCAGAAACTCTGTATGGAGGCGTTACCACATCCCAGGTCTAACATGCTCGGAACAATTACATTGGAATTGTGTTCTACGGGTGTATATATATATACATATATATATATATATATATATATATATATATATATATATATATATATATATATATCCGTAGAACACAATTATATGTATATCTGCTGACAGATTAGTCGCTGGATACCGTTTGCATAGCAAGGGAGCATTGTGCCTATGTTGACTGTGTATTCTGTTTCCGGACACTTTCATGAATGTATTAAAATTACAAGACAAAATGCAGTCAACCAGCTTGAGACAAACACGGATCTGTCATTAAATACATATAACGGTGTTAAAGCAATGTTTTATTAAAATAATGAAACGTAAACAATCATAACAAGCATTGGTGGAAAGGAGACTACGAATTTTATTATAATAAGGATTCTGATTATTATTCAGTGACACCATATGGATTGTCAGACAAAGGTGAAAACGTTTCACCCCATCTTCCTGATGCAAGAGAGTTAACTGACTTTAAAAGTCTAGTTTCCACCCTTGCCGAACTACGCTGGAATTCCTGGGCTCGATCGTAGCACCACCACTGGCTATTACGAGTTATGTCCCTTCTGTCCCTCTCCTATGGACCAATCAGATTCCACCTCACGTATCACATGCATTTGCTTCAAACAAAACGGGGGCGCCCAGTCAAGAGGATCTGATGGATAATCAAGATCTGTATATTGTGATAAAACGAGTCTTACATCGCGAATCGATCACATCACGTGAGCACCTTAATTAAAAACATGAAAAGCTTTAGAAAATTTCCGCTGACAATGATTTAGCGGTGAACATGTTTTGCAAATCCTGCAATCGGCCGTATTTACGAACCGTGTTTCGTTTCGGAGCACGATTGTGATTGGAGACTCGTTAGTCCAGCCAAAATGTAACTCCATAACACCAGCCAAGTTCGGCAAGGGTGGAAACTGGACTTTTATAGTCAGTTAACTCATTTGCCTCGGGAAGATGCTTTCACCCACGACGTGATATAACGTCTTCTGCCATGTAACCACCAGTGTAAAACTGAGACACTTACCCTTTTACCCCAGATGCATGAGTGACAGTCACATCTGGTCCTACGATGAGGCTGGACTTATACGACGTACCTTGGAGGACCCGCTTCAGCTGTGCAAAGTCATTGGCGAGTTGGGCGTCCGATAATGTGATGTTTGCGTTGTGATGAAACACATTTGATTCTAGGAAAAACGCAGATACGTACAAGCTAACAGTGGAAGAAGATGGACATCGTCTTACTCACCCTGATGCTTTGGGTTCTTGATTATAGCTTCATCCCATTGTTGCAGTAGAGTTCGACAACAAACCAAATTTTGTATTGCTGTTCCCACTATGTACTGTCGCAAGGGGCCGTTAATATATGACCCTGCGTAGTTCTTCATTTTGTACAGTCATGTACAGTAACACTTTTTTTCATCAGTTTTTTTATTGGGAGAAGGTTTACACGATCTTGTTACAGTTCTCAGCATAAATATCATACAGAATGCATTGCCATTTATATACTAGTAATTCTATAGGCAATGAAGTGAATGTTTCTAATGATTTATAGTTGTTCCTTTCTTATTTATTATAGATTGTGGGGGCACGGGTGGCCCAGTCGTCTAAGGCGCCGCGATTCGCTGTGCAGAGTTGCGTCCCTTGGCCACGCCAGAAACCTATGATTGTGAGATCGAATCCCGGTTCGCCCCGATTGTGTTTCTAAGTGTGTTAGCACCATACCCGTGCTCGTGGGTTTCACCGAAGTGGTAAACGTCTGAGACATGCATCACTTCGGGCTTTCCTCCCACATTAAACTGATCATGACACGCCGCGATATAACTGGAATACTGTTAAAAGCGGCGTTAAACCCAACTCACTCACTCACTCACTATTATAGATTGTAAGGATTTTGATTAAGCTGTGTCTGACCATTTTACTAACAATTGGTGAGTGAGTAAGTGTTTTGCTTGATTGTTTAACGCCGCACTCTGCAATAATCAAGCCGTCTGTAAATAATCAAGTCTGGACCGATAAACCAGTGATTGACTTCATGAGCATCGATCTACGCAATTACGATACGCTGACATGCATCAAAGTCAGCGAGCCACACCACCCGATCCCGTTAGTCGCCAATTCTAAACCATATCTTCACGGGTCGAGTGAGTGTGTTTTACGCCGAGTTTAGCAATATTCCAGCAATATCACGGCGGGCTTCACACGTTGTAACCATGACGCGAATCAAACCCGGGACTTCGGCTTGACGAGCGACAACGTTTTAACCACTAGGCTATCCCACCGTCCCTACTGGGAAATAGCCCAACGTGTCAGGTGAGGTGAAATGGGGTTTAGCGTCCAAGATTATTGCACTTATATAGCGACGTGCATGCACGTGTGTGTGTGTGTGTGGCTGCTTTTAATAGTCCGGAATGATGCCGTTTTATAGTGCTAGCTCACTGAGATACCATGCTGCAGATTAACATGAATACCCCACTCAGACACAGTATACTGACTCCGAGCCGACCAGCCCTTGTTTTAGCCCCTTAATGCCGAGCGTCAGACAGGGTAACAACAAGTACCATCTTTTAACGTCTTTTGGTATCACGCGGTCGGGGATCGAACCCAGGACCTTCCGCTCCCCGGGCGGACGCTCTACCACTAGACCACGGAGGCCACAGACATGCTGCTACTTCTGAAGACGTAACCTACCATTTCCCAGTTCGAATCCAGCAATATGGTAGCCTTTCTGTGACGAGTATTTAAGCAACAATTCAGCATTCGATGGGTCCCACTTTCCTTGCTTCCGCAGTAAAATATTAAGGTCGAATATAAGCTTCATCCCCGTGTTATGAACAAACTTGTTAAGAATATCCCAGTCTTCAGCTGCAAGATGAAGTACAAATATCTGAAGGGATCAATGCATAAAGCGAGAACACAAAAATGTCATCAAAATACTCCTTGACTTGACTTCCATTAATTGTACATTACAAGCTCAGTACATAACCAGAACAGGTGACACAATGGCACACGGTGATATCAAGTATATTCTTCGCAATGAGACAGACTATTGTACCACAACTGTCTATGACTGGTTCTTATTTGTTGAGGTGAGGTGAAATTGGGTTTAACGTCGCGTCCAAGATTATTGCACTTATATAGCGACGTGCATGTACGTGTGTGTGTGGCTGCTTGTACTAGTCCGGATTGATGCCGATTTATAGTGGTAGCCCACTGAGATACCATGCCGCAGTTTATCATGAATACCCCACTCAGACACAGTATACTGACTCCGAGCCGACCAGTCCTTGCTTTAGCCCCTTAATGCCGAGCGCAAGACCGGGTAACAACAAGTACCATCTTTAAACGTCTTTTGGCATGACGCGGCCGGGAATCGAACCCCGGACCTTCCGCTCTCCGGGCGGACGCTCTACCACTAGACCACGGAGGCGGTCTCTTATTTGTTGAAGAGTCAATTCATCCAAGTTTATTGTATTCAGGCAGTATACCGATATGATTATCAGATGTTGTTGACAAAATTGCTATAACATCGTGTCAAAAGCACATATTGAAATCTAACCGACTTATCGATGGCATTGACAGCGTTATATGTGTTTGAATGTCATTGCGAGCGTGAGTTTGCACTGCAGTCTGGATCGGTGTCCCTTTCCACAAGGCATTCGAAGCTTTACGATCGTAACGATATAGTTTATCACAGTCTTACAAATGTCGTAGTGTAATTTCTTTAAAAACATCACTTTGCATTTTTTGTCTTGACTATAAGTAATATTCCTTATTGGCTGAAGTTCTTGTTTTCACTTTATAACTATTAGCACACATGCAGCTATCTTCGTCAACTACTTATTGCGATATTTCGTGATTCTATGTTCAGTGGCGAGGGCAATAAGGTATTTTACTACAGAGGAAGGACACAGGTAACAGAAATCGTCAGGTCTCCTTCATTGATTTAGTATATTGTTAATGATACGAATAGTTATTTAAATGTTATAAAATACTAGGTCAAGCTATTAAATATGCTATCTTCAAGATATGTTATAATATGATGCTTCTCTACGATAGCCATGGGAAGCAAAATTGGGCGACAAAAGTCAAAAACATGTTATACGAAAGTGGATATGGTTATATTTGGTTACAGCAACATGTAGATATGCCACAGCATTTCTTCTCCCGTTTGACACAGACCTTAAAAGATATGTACATCCAAAAATGGCATGGTTCTTCGTCCAGTTCTAGAAAAGCAAATTACTACACTACATTTAAGACTACTATTATACTAGAACCTTATCTATTAAGTGTAAATTTCTCTTTCTCGATTTCGTCGTGGCTCACATGATCTATTTATTGAAACAGACAGATATGAAGGCATTGCAAGAGAACATAAACTTTGTAGGATTTGTAAAACTGATTGTATTGAAGATGAATATATCACTTTTTATATGTATGTCCAGTGTATAAAGATTTACGAGCAAAATATCTAAATAACTATTTCTACCGTAACCCAATCGGTAATAAATTTGGTAAATTAATGACTTGTGATTGTACAGAAACTATTAGAAATTTATCAATGTTCATTTATCATGCTATGAAACTAAGAAAATGTATGAATTTGTAACACGCCCCAGACAATGTACTATATGCCTTTGGCCTCATAAGTACCGTGAATAAAGATTGATTGATACGAATCTTCTTACTCATTTCTTCAGAACTTTTGAGGCCGACCATTCTTAAACAGCTACAGGTTACTCACCCAATAGTTTGAACGGCGATGCTGCGTCGGAGCTATGCTGTGTGGCATGGGGATCAAACACGACATGGTCAGCCGAGGTTCCCCCGACCCTCAGATATGAGGGAACGAGTTCTTTCACAAGCTTCTGGAGATTTGGTGAACTGTACAATGATACAGATGTAAATTATATCAGGCGTGTTTGCTGAGAGGTAAAAGCTAAGAAAAATATACAGTCATCTAATCTTATCGTGTTTCATACCTGTGATGGGATCGAGTGGGTGAGACATGCTGACTTGATTGATACATGTAATTGTATCCACACTGTGCAGTTCGATGTTCACGATGTCAATCACTGGATGTCTGGTCCAGACTCGGTTAATTACAGACCGCCGTCATATAGCTGGAAAATTGCTGTGTGGCGTTAAACGAATTTTGTTTAAAAAAAGAAGGAAGATAATCATAATGTAGTGAGTGAGTATGGCTTTACGCCGCTTTTAGAAATATTCCAGCAATAGCAGGCGGGGAACACGAGAAATTTGCTTCACACAATGCACCTGTGTCGGGAATCGAACCCGGGTCTTCGCCGTGACGAGCGAACGCTTTAACCACAAGGCTACTCGACCGCCCCTTATCATAATGTAAGTAGTAGAGAGGGACCTGAGAACACACACTTAGGAATTAGGCCGTGGGCTAGGTATGACCCACGAGCACCCCTTACCCCCCCCCCCCCCCATAGCTAAGTTATGTATGAATTATATGTTAGTAAGTGAATTCGTCTTTCACCTTCGATGGTTCCCCCTGCAAATTCACCTTAACTAGTAGCTGTACTAAAGAATCTGAAACTCAACTTGAAATGGCAAAATTTGTCAAAATATCAAGCCAGCGTCCAAGAAATTGATTTGTATATTTGTTGAAATTACATTAACATTATGATCAGTTTTTTTGCACAGCATTATGGTTGCCATCTTGAATATGTTACACATAGGTCCATTTCATTCAAATTTCTGAAATCGACTCGAGCATTATGCTGTGAACCTCTTATATGCATACAAAAGTGAGTGAAATCAGAGTTGTCAAGAAGTATTCTGTATGATTGTCCACAAGTAGATCAATAATCAGCCTACATTAAATTATGGTGTTTATATATGGTTTCCTGTGGTATATAACACATCGAGGTCGGTGAATAACACACAAGATGACAAGCCAAATCCTGAGCATACATCCAAGCGTTGTTCCGATGTAGCTAAGCCGAGAATGCAATATTGGGTATCCTACTCTGATATTAAAAGAGTAAATTTGTTCCAAATTATGCAAAAGATTTTCACCTGGCAACATTACATGTTAAGAAGTACGGAATCACGCGGAACATGTGTTAGACGATTATAGTGGAATCAGGCACACGTACCTAGAACATATACCGGATTAAAGGTTTCTGCGAGAAGAATTTGGTTTTGTCGGGATATATGACGTTCGATTTGCAATGGGTTGGTCCATATTCACTCAATACCAACTATTGATACCTCATTGGAGAGGTACTTATATATGGCTTCCAGTGGTATATCACACTTGAAGATCAGTGGATCACTAGTGAGATGACAACCCGTACCATAAAGCGGACCATCGTCACGCCGAAGACCCAGGTTCGATTCTCCACATGGGGTCAATGTGTGAAGCCCTGATATTTCTGTAATGTTGCTGAAACCGACGTAAAACCATACTCACTCTCCTATCATGCTTGGTACTGGTACTGTTTCGAAGGTCTGCCAATGATGACTTTTGTATAATGCGTTCATAATATAACGTGCATGTGGCCCGAAGCACCCCTCACTCAGTGATATTGATAAAGCAATCTTAAAAACAGTTTATTATACAGATTTCTGATTATATGTTTGGAGGCCTTGTTCGTCCCAATTCGCTGTACATAGTTGCCTCCCTTGGGTGCGCCATAAACTTGGATTCCAGGTGGGATCGGCTGTGATAATTTAATTCGTGTTCGTTTCTTTACTGGGGGATAGGGTGGCCCAGTCGTCTGAGGCGCCGCGATTCGCTGTGCAGAGTTGCGTCCCTTCGGTACGCCAGAAACCTATGATTGTGGGTTCGAATCCTGGTTCGCCCCGATTATGTTTCTAGGTTTGTCAGCACCATACCTGTGCTCGTGGGTTGCACCAAAGTGGTAAACGTCTGAGACCTGCATCACTTCGGGCTTTCCTCCCACATTAAACTCACACGCCGTTGTATCACTGAAATACTGTAAATTGCGGCGTAAAATCAAACATACCCATTCACACATGATACATGTATTTATCTTAGCGACACAACTATGACCCTGGTCTCAACGACTGCCATGATCAACGATGTTTACAACAGTAAAGCAGATTGATTTTGGAAACAGAACCTATGCTTGTTTGTGAAAGTCACGTAGGGTCAGCTATATATAACGCGGGACATATATCTAACCTGAGATGGTGTCCGAGGAACCGAATCGGACTAAACACCTGTACCATATTTAGAGTTGTGAGCTTGACCTGCTACGGCTATAGCGCTGACTGTCTGGAACTGGCTGTAGCGTGCCTAGATAATAAACTTATCATGAAAATAAAAAAGTAGGACTGTATTCGCTAATTTGCTATCTTTACTATCTATAAATATGTCCAGATCGTTGTATTTCTTGCGACGTTTGGCCCCTAAATGATTGTTCGTGATGGTGTTAAGAGAATACATGATCCGAGAAAATGTTGTTGTCATTGAATGATTCATCTGATATGACATTAACTGCCTGTTGGACGACTTCCAGTGACATTTTGTATGAGATTTGACGGGACGTGTGGCCCAGTCGTCTAAGGCGCCGCGATTCGCTGTGCAGAGTTGCGTCCCTTGGGCACGCCAGACACCTATGATTGTGGGTTCCAGTCCCGGTTCACCCCAATTATGTTTCTAGGTTTGTCAGCACCATACCCGTGCTCGTGGGTTTCACCGAAGTCGTAAACATTAACAGCTCTCATATGTTTCAAAGAACACAAACATGTCCCGTAATAAGAGAATACAGACGAAATTAACATACATGTACCATGTACTTTGCCGAGCGCCAGACACGGTAACAACAAATACCATCTTTCAATATGTTTTGGCACGACACGGCCTGGAGATCGAACCACGGACAACCAGATCTCAGGACAGACGCTCTACCTACGACTAACAAGTGATAAGGAATAAGCAAACCATTTAGGAGAGAATGGGGAGGTTGAAGACATATCAGTTCATCTGTCCCCACGTAACTGTTCCTGGGTAATATTTCATGACTCATCAATGAGATGAACAGAGTTTGATCAAACAGCAGTTCTACAAACACTGACGTCGGCTTGAGGAAATACAATCAACCCCCATGCGGGGCGAGGGTTAGTCTGCCTGCCGTTACAGTGTTGTGTAACCCGCGTGCGGGGCGAGGATTGGTCAGCCTGCCGGTACATTGCTGTGTAACCCGCATCCGGGGCGAGAGTTAGTCTGCCTGCCGTTACACTGCTGTGTAACCCGCGTGCGGGGTGAGGGTTAGTCTGCCTGCCGGTACATTGCTGTGTAACCCGCATGCGGGGCGAGGATTGGTCAGCCTGCCGGTACATTGCTGTGTAACCCGCATGCGGGGCGAGAGTTAGTCTGCCTGCCGTTACACTGCTGTGTAACCCGCATGCGGGGCGAGGGTTAGTCTGCCTGCCGTAACACTGCTGTGTGACCCTTAGCGGGGCGACGGTTAGTCTGCCTGCCGTTACAATGCTGTGTAACCCGCGTGCGGGGCGAGAGTTAGTCTGCCTGCCGTTGAACTGCTGTGTAACCCGCGTGCGGGGCGATGTTTAGTCTGCCTGTCATTACACTGCTGTGTAACCCGCATGCGGGGCGAGAGTTAGTCAGCCTGCCGTTACACTGCTGTGTAACGTATTGTGTTGCCGCATGTACCAACATTAATGACTTTCCAAAGGTGTAACAATGTGACCATGTAAATGAGAGAATCGGTTGTATAGTTCCCAGCTTCCGTCTGTTATCTGGTATGTGTTGTAAAATGCTCTTCCCACAAACAGTAGTAAGAGAGCAATACATACGACTGTTGCTCAAAAGGTGTTCAAAAGTTATGATCTTCAACGCCATTAAAAAGCTTTCATCGGTGGTCACGTGTAGAGAACATATCGGCATTTTGACGTGTATTCCCGTGTTTTTGTCTGGTAAACAATGGACGTGCCTTGGCAGGACATGTTCAGCTTTTCGCTAACTCTTCATATTGATTAATCAACACATGCTTTTGGAATAGTCGGAATGTGCAATGTCACTTTTGTCTCTTTTATTGAATGTTACAAGTAGAATGCATATGGTTTGCTTTCAACAAATGTGTAATGATTTCAGCGTATATTTCTGTATACCCTTTTGATATCGATCACAGCAATGCCGATAATTTACAGGTGGAATATTGTTGTGTGCGGCATTAAAAACAAACAAACATACAAATAAACAAAACTCAGTTGACAGTGGTGATAAGAACCCTTTCATTGCCACTCACTGCTGAAATTCATAACGGATTGTTACTATTCATTCTTTACTGCATACCGTCACCAAGCTCCAGGCCATACAGTTGATATCCTTTCTTTGAGGTGTAGTCTAAGAACACCTCAGCATTGGTAGGATCCCATCATGACATCATTATTTCAACAATTAGTATTTGCATTACGTTGACAGTTCACACGAGCATGACGTCATAAATGTCTATTCTATAGGTATGATTTCTTTCGTCCTGCTTCCTGAGAACCATATGAATAGTAATGTTCAGTATTAGGTTTCTGTTCCTTCATTGGTAAAATATGAAAATCCTACCATCGCTGTTCCGTGATTTTGTATTGATGGAATATTACATGTGGCAAACCACCTACCTACCTCTCTTCCTACAGACCTACAGACATATCTACAAACAGACCTATCAACCAACTAAAAAATTAAAGTTTACGCGTACCTTCAAACATGTGAAACTGTGTCGTTTTCAATTTATTATTTAGCTATTGATTTTGTAAGAAATGACACAATATACAAATACAATGGTTTCCCTTACAAATCCTCGCGTCAGGTTAAGTCCACTTACAACAAAACCAAGAACACTGGAGTCGAGTGTCACACCCACATATTTATCATGAACTTTATTGACGGCAGCCTGTGTGTTGATGTAGATGTCAGCATCTGCACCATGAAGGACAGTGAATAAGAAGATTGAGTATACAAGATGGCGGAGCATTGTCATCACGGACTTCCATTGTTCCGTCCTAGTCTCCAGCACAGAGAAACAGCGCTTTCAGCAAATACCATTTACAACCAACGATAACAGAAAAGTTGTTGACCTAATTCGATAGTCAACTTCACACGTTCTGTAGACAAAGCAGAAATCCATGTCAAGAAAACCAGACACAACAAGGTCGACACACGTATGTTATACAACTGCTATTAACAACTGTTATACAACATGTATGTTATACAACTGCCAGCAATCTATTACTTACTCCTGTGTGTTTGGAACTCATGAACTAAATTTACAATATGTTCTCAGATAAATTCATGCATGTATGTTACAATCAGTCTTTCACTGGTAATTTTGTAAACCTTTTAGTAAAACGACTGTCCTTAAGGTAAATAGAACTCCTGTCATTTGACACGACATTGGCATCCGTGTTTGTAAGCAATATTATGCAAGATAACCTCTGTCCGAATTTGGGTCAAAACATGTCCCCAGTGTCTTATCATTTTCGATAGAGTGGATAAACTGTTATCGTACGATCAAGGTCTCAAACCTGGCTGACCACCTGGTGAAATTTGTGTGTGTCACAATAAAATCTATCTTGCAACCACCGTCATACTATATGTATGGTTACAGGAATTATGAAGAGAGTCAATGTATGACGTCATGATATCCGTACAGGCTAACCAGCCGTCTTTTATGGGTCCTGAATGACAGAGACTGGCCATTCAGACAGCTACGTGTACATTATATGAGGCGTAATGGCAATGCCGTGTATAGGACAAAAAAGTTGTCACAGGACGGCACGTAAAATGATAGATACTGCAGCATTTGACAATGTCTAAGCTGAATACTCATCTTGTGTATTGCTCACTTTAAAAAAACACTGATGTAATATTGTTGCTGTTGTCTGTTCTTTAACGCCGTCCTCAGCAGCAATATTAAAGACCGATAACTGAAGGCATCATCATGCCTTTACTCACAAGCTGTTTAAAGTGGGATTAACCAGCCAACATTGCTATCAGTAATTGAGATAAGAACACAGAGTTACATAAACCATCATTAAAATATAGTGTATGTTATGTCTAAATATTATATATTATTCTTGACCTTTAAAAGAGATAATTAGTGACAGATTTGATGTAAAATTGCAGTCCATAAATGATAGTGCACATTAATATCCACACGCGCATCTGTACAATCTATTTGCTGAACCAATTCATGCATAAAATATAATGACATTTTCCCTTACATGTCTGTTTGTGCACCGTTGTTGCTCGAAGTATGCATAGAACTAATGAACTAGAACTAAAACTTGCAATTTGCTCTTCATTGTAAAGAACGACAAACGACACATTAATGCATGTTCATGTTGTTTGGTTTGTTGTTAAACGCCGCACTCAGCATTATTCGAGTCCACCCGATCACGTTGGTCGCCTTTTACGACAAGCATAGTCCCCTTTTACGGCAAGCATGGGATGCTGAAGACCTATTCTACCCCGGATCTTCACGGGTCGCATGATCATGTAATGTAGGGGACGCAAGTGTGTACTTAAGCACTTATGCAGGTGTTTCCAAGCACTGTTGTCACTTACTATCATGCCATACTGGTAATTCGTTCGGACATCAATTTCGAAGACATATTTGTCGACACGGACACAATATGATTTAATATATGCACACAAGTTGTATCAATGTCGACCCAAAACATTTGTATCAATGGCGACACAACACGATAAGCCTCAATGTCAACACAACACAATATTTATCAATGACGACACAACACGATATGTTTTTTTGACGTTACAACAGAATATATGTCAATGATGACACAACATAATGTGTATATTTTTTTTACACAACACGATATGCCTCAATAAAGACACAACACAGTCTATATGAGACCACCTCACATGAATATAGACTATGTGTGACATTCAGTCAGATAAGACAAGCCAGAGACAATGAAGGTAACACTGTCAGCGCTACTCCTGGTCACCACCTTCATGTCCTCCACATCATCGGGAGCAGTCAATGTCAGTGTCACGGTGTCCACAACACAAGCAGTGTCATTTATTGATGAACTATTTGTGGGCGTCACACTTGACTCCAGTCTCCTGCCGACCCCACAACACTGGAAAGGATTGGACTTCAAGTAAGTCAGTGAAGGTCATTGCCATAGATGTCAATAGATATCAAGTTATTGAAGATTCCTTGATTTGAAATCCATCAATTGTATTCACACTTATAGCTGAGATTTGGACACATCATACTCTTAGTTTTATTCATGCACATAATTGATATGAAACAGACAGAATTGTTTTAATCGAGCTATTAAAGATTCCATTCATTTGAAATTGATATTTTGTATTCTTGTATTTTTGTAACGGCATAGTTCAAACTAGCAAAGCAGATGTCTACAATAATAATGATTTCCAAGCCTTTATCACAGAAAAAAAAATATAAATATATAATAAATGCATGATGCTACTTCTGTTGTTCGTTAATGTATTTAGATAAATGGTATTCTCTTTGGATAGGTAAACAAGGCATGCGGTATAGCACATATAAACCTGCTCAATTATTTATGACGTATGTCGTGTATCACACGCTATTGCTTTACCTCCAGCTCTCAAAAAGTTCAGGCACTGGCTAAAGGCTTGTCTCCATGCTATCTGAGGATTGGAGGAACTGAAGGTGACAGCCTGACCTTTGACCCTACCGGTAATGGCACAGTAGATGTCAATCGTTCATTAACAGGTGCGTACATCTACTAAAGATATATATAGTTTGTCTTGTTGTTGTATTGCGGATGGATAAACCTTTGATTTGATTGTCACTGAGTTAGGATAAGAGGTGGTTCAAATATTAGAGCATCAGATGTGTTTTGGTGCTGTTACTACAGTTGTATCTGCAGGAGCTACCTGATGTGTTTGGGTGCTGTTACTACAGTTGTATCTGCAGGAGCTACCTGATGTGTTTGGGTGCTGTTACTACAGTTGTATCTGCAGGAGCTACCTGATGTGTTTGGGTGCTGTTACTACAGTTGTATCTGCAGGAGCTACCTGATGTGTTTGGGTGCTGTTACTACAGTTGTATCTGCAGGAGCTACCTGATGTGTTTACTGCTGTTACTACAGTTGTATCTGCAGGAGCTACCTGATGTGCTTGGGTGTTGTTACTACAGTTGTATCTGCAGGAGCTACCTGATGTGTTTGGGTGCTGTTACTACAGTTGTATCTGCAGGAGCTACCTGATGTGTTTGGGTGCTGTTACTACAGTTGTATCTGCAGGAGCTACCTGATGTGTTTACTGCTGTTACTACAGTTGTATCTGCAGGAGCTACCTGATGTGTTTGGGTGCTGTTACTACAGTTGTATCTGCAGGAGCTACCTGATGTGTTTGGGTGCTGTTACTACAGTTGTATCTGCAGGAGCTACCTGATGTGTTTGGGTGTTGTTACTACAGTTGTTTCTGCAGGAGCTACCTGATGTGTTTGGGTGTTGTTACTACAGTTGTATCTGCAGGAGCTACCTGATGTGTTTGGGTGCTGTTACTACAGTTCTATCTGCAGGAGCTACATGGGATGCTGTAAATACATTTGCCCAGGACGTGAACTGGAAGTTTATATTCGGTCTGAACGCCCTTAAGAGGAAGGAGGGACAGTGGGATCCCACTAACGCAAAGGAACTGCTGCAATACAACAGTGCGAAGGGGTACCAGCTGGCAGGTTTTGAACTCGGAAACGGTATGTATATAACTAAATACACGGATATATATGATTGAATATGAATTCAATATACAACTAATAAGGAAATAAAATTAAATGTGCCAAAACGTTTCTTTCATGAATCTGATAAATTACCTTTTGCCCCTTAATTTCATACAAAAAAGTCAAGGAAAATCTCACAATTTTACAAGATTTATGACTTGCCAATAACATCTCGTGACATTTATTCAGAAGTGTAATTGGTTACAGAACCTGACTTATTCCCTGGGCAATATAACATCACTGTGAGCGGCAGTCAGTTAGGTAGGGACTTCTATACCTTCAAGAAGCTGCTCCGATCGCCACCAGGGTATGAGGTGACACCAGTTATCGGACCTGACATGGCCTCTATAACTGGCGCAAAATCACAGTTCTTTGCTGAGTAAGTAGACTGAACTGACAATGTTGTCAATGAATTTACGTAAGGGTCGTGGCCATACAGTTTACATGAACCATGTCGCGTTATGCCATTTACAATCTTTGTGTAAAGTTTGACAAAAGAGTAAACCTCAATCCTGGTCGCAAAACATAACACCCGAACACAAACAAAAGCACCACCTGCACGTGGAACACGATGGTGGACCCATTGTTACAACCGCCGATGGCAATTAGAAAGAAACACCACGACAACCTAGTAGAAAACATAATACCTAAATAATTAATATATTATAATAAACTGATGCTTTTTGTAGCCACCCAGTCAATGTGATATATCAATTTGGAGAATTATGGATGTAGAATCGTAGTCCCTTTTGTTCTGAAATACGTTTAGTACTGGTTTATCTCACGTGGTTCCTGTAGAAATATCTGTTGTGTTGTGAAGAGACAAAACCTACCTTCGTATTCGTCAGTTTGTCACGTAGAGTTCGATTTATGGTTTGAAGTAACATACATGCACAATCGCTGTTTGAAGACATAACAGATTACAGCAACTCACACAACAATGCCCACTTTGTTTCCTCAGTTTCTTCACAGGAGGGGGAGACAAGGCCGTGGACAGGATAACTTTTCACCAGTAGGTTGTTTACTTTAGAATATTTGTATTGTTCTAGACTACTTAACCTGTACCGGTTTTTCATTAAGTGAATGGTCAAATATTATGTTTGTAGTAATTAAAATGCTTTGTATAAAGTTCATGGAATACTGACACGTCGCCCAAGTCAAATCTAGGAAAGTCCACAAATGCAATATTACACAGGAAGTTTACTTTCTGCTCTAAAAAAGTCAACCATCTCTGTTTATTATCACATTAACTGATTGAATAACGTAGGCCATGCCACCAAGTATATGTACATGTTTTACCTGTTTGTGACATTTCCTACCAACCAAAGAAGATGAACCATGGTCATCAAACCTATCGATGTTTCTCGCAGATACTACACCAGTGGCGAAACTGCAAACCTCACAGATTTTACTGATTCCAAGTTAATGGATAACCTGGTCACTTATATAGAGACGGTGTTGGATGTGACAAGACGCACCAACCCCCTTACCCCAGTCTGGTTGGGAGAAACATCCTCCTGTTATCATGGCGGTGCCCCGGGAATCTCAGACAGATATGCCGCTGGGTTTCTGTGCGTACAACTTTAGCATATACACTTCCTACCTTGGTCAACTATACTCGCATACTGATAATGAATATTGGTTCATCTCGTCTATCTAGGGCTGAAATATTGTAGATATGACGAGATGAGACAAAGATAAGATTTGTCTTCGGATGTAAGGTCGGTTGTGATGTAATAGAATAGACGTGTGTGTTTAGATGCACCATATACACCGCCTGTTGAAAGTGTACACTGTTCAGGTGGCTGGACAAGCTTGGTGTTGCTGCTCGGATGGGATTGAAAGCAGTTCTCAGACAGGATTTCTACGCAGCAAGCTATGGACTTATTGACAATGATACGTTTGAGCCATTGCCTGTAAGTACAGGACCGACCAGATTTCTTATGTCTTTCTTGAATATACATTTACACGACGTCACAACTTCTGGACAGTTCTTTCCTCTTGGGTTCCTTACTGAATTTCAGTTATCATACTGCACACTCTGATTTTACCGTTTCCATGTTAACGGATCACCTGGTCAGTTATATAGAGACAGCTATGGATGTGTCAAGACGTACCAGCCAACCTACTCTTTCTTGGGGAGACATCCTCCTGTTATGATGGAGGTACACTTGGAATATCAGACATATATGTAGCATCTATAAAAAACAATCACTGATTTTCAGTACTGCATGAATATAGATTCACCGTTATGTTGCCTTCAAGCCAAATCGAGACTGGTTATTCTCTAGCATTGGCGTTGTATAATTATCGTATGAGTGAATCACGACCATGTAATCTGACTGATAATTCTGCAACAGGTTGTGACACAATTGGTCAAAGTGGGTTGAGTGTTATGCATTTATCTCATGGAATGAAATCATTATCCACCTTGTAAGGATGATGAAGCCTAATTGCTGCTGGGGCGGTCGGGTAGCCTAGTGGTTAAAGCGTTCGCTCGTCACGCCGAAGACCCGGGTTCGATTTCCGACATGGGTACAATGTGTGAAGCCCATTCCTGGTGTCCCCCGCCGTGATATTGCTGGAATATTGCGGGGTAAAACCATATTCACTCACTCACTAATTGCTGCAAGATTGCTCATGCGGCTCGACGCAAGAATCACTCACTCGATTGATGTTATCATGTTATGACCTTCTTGGACATATAGACGTCTATATTAGCAAACCATTATCTTCACTATCATCTCATGTATCGATGAAAAATAATCATTTTCTCAAGTTGAAAACATGACCAAATATGAGTGGAGAAAGAGAATAAAAATGACTGAGCTGAAATATTGAAAACATGTTACAATAATCAATATTTCAGCTTAGTCAGTGTGATAAAGCCTTTCCTCTTCCAAGACGCACTCTTCTGTATATGTCACAACCTAAGTACCTTAAGAAAAAATGAATGTTTAACATAGCGAAATGTAGTTGCAGTGCATTTTTTTTTCTACATCGATATTAATGACAAATGATGAGTTAGTTTTATTCAATCTGTTTTTTTTACTGCAGGACTACTGGTTAACCGTCCTGTATAAGAGACTCGTGGGAGGCGCCGTGTTTTCAGTAGAGGCGACCGTGGACAACAGCACCATCAGGGCCTACGCCCACTGCACAAAGCCTTCCATGTAACTTGACAACCAAAATCACAACTGTAACCAGACATCGTAATGCATCAGGCTGCAAACACGAACATTCATAATAACAAACTTTCGAATGAGATGAAGGTTATGTGAGGTGAAATACCATAAAACAGGGTTTAACATAAGATTATTGCGGGTTACAGGGTAACAACAAGTGCCATCTTTTGACGTCTTCTGACATGACGCGGCCGGGGAACGGATGGAAAGGGCAACATTATTGATGACCATTGGTCCTCATTATCCTTTATTTGTAATTCACGTGGTAACATAGTTCTCCTTCCGTCCGAAATCACGATATCAAATGAGTTCATTTACATGCAAAGTGAATTAGTCCGGTAATACTTCGTGTTGTGTTTTAGTTCCTATGGCTACATGCCCGGCGGTGTGACGATGTATTTCCTGCTGACCACAGACAACAACACCTCCATAACGTTCCCCCAGTTTCCCGACCAACCTATAGATGTGTTCTGGTTGACGCCAGTGGATGGACTCACTAGCAGGTAAGATTCCCAGCGAAGGTATAGAAGTCGTCTAGTTCACACTTGTCCTTGGACTCACCAGACGTCCTCTGGTTCACACCAATCGATGTCACTAGTATGTAATTTCCCAAACTAACTTTTACACTAATATATGAATGAGTTGCAGGTTGTAAGAGTAAGTAGGTACTTTCTTCTTGAAAACCACAGAAAACCATTCGTGAAATTATCATATATGTATTGGTTTACTATAACATACACATGTGATACATGAACGTTACAAACTATAATCGTTCACAAAGTAGCATGTCAGCTCATGTTCAGTTCTCTGTTTTTACCATGTTAGGAAGGTGGCCTTGAACAACAAGCAGCTTGACCTTGTCAATAATTCGCTGCCGGAGCTGAAACCTTACAGGACAGAAGAAAACACCATCACCTTCCCCGGGAAGTCATTCGGGTTCCTCGTCTTCCCTGAGGCTAACGTAGCCTCCTGCAGTAGCCAGTAATGACGTTCAGAGAATGAGAGAACAAACCTGTATTGTCTGCGCTTGCTATGGAAATAAATCTTAATATTATTGATTCACTTATCTGTTTCTGTCCGACTAAATCATTGCATAGATCTTGTACTTTGTTTTAATCTTCGATTGGGTTTAAATCTGGAGACCTAGAGGGCCAAGGGAGAACTTGGATGTTGTGATTTGTGAAAAAGGCTGATGCTGTGTGAGGCGTTGCCTTGTTGGAAAATGACGTTCGCTTGTTGCACGAAACTCCACCATGTAACTTTGTGTCGTTAAATTCCCTAGGACTTGCACCAAGTCTGTTCCACCAGTGTAGGAGAAGACTTCCCACAACCACCACCAATATCTGTCCACTTTCTGCATGCAGTTTCGTGCATAGTGTTCCCCGCGACGCCTGTAAACACGACGTCTTCTATCCTCACGGCGAAGCATAAAAACGACTCGTCACTTAACCAAACTTGTCACCATCGCCGTTGTGGCTATATTGACATCATCGACGTCCAAGCCGACGATGCAGGCCCGTCACAATGACACCTCGAACTGGTCCGTCTAGCGGGAAGACCTTCAACGTTTCCTCACTGTCACTGTCCTGGTATTAAGGATAGTTTTTAGGGGCGGTCGTCATGGTTCCTTCACGTAAGTGACGTAGCTGTATGAATCTGTCCTGACCTCCAGTAGTGATATGTGGTTGACCAGATCTGGGAAGGTCACATGTTGTCACGTGTGTCTGATAACGGTTCCACATTCTTGCAATGGTGCCATATACTACGTGGAAAAGCCTGGCTACAACCAAAGATGATTTACCTGTCTGTAGTCGGACGATGACGTTGGACTTCCGTCAGTCGTGGCTGTTCGCTGTTCACTTGCTGTAAGATGGTGATGGCATGTAAATGAAAACCCAACGGTTTTTTCGCCCAACAAGTGATGTTGCACGTGTTCGTCATGTTATTGTGTTTCGGCGCCAGGCTCTTACGTGGTTGTGTTTTCAATATTTTCACCAAATTTCTTCAATACCTCATTCCTTCAAACACAAATCAGTCCCAATCCATGCAGAAATGACTATTTCGTTTTACGTATTAATTTTTTATGGATGTCGGAATGATTTATATTTTCAATTTTATTGCTTTTCTGTTTCTATTTTTTGCAGAGTATTACCCAACAACCAAACATGACTGTTAGCTATTAAATTATTTGATACTGAGTATTTGAGTGTGTACGTCCGTATTTCTTCTTTGGATTGAGTATTGATGCTGTGATAAAAAGGTACATTCACTGACCATTTTACCCCCAAATAGTCTACATGTATCAGTATTTACAAAACAGTATGTAATTACGTGCACTTGTCACCTGTAAGTACAATGTTAGATACATTTGGTGCCTGCAGACTCTGGGTGAGCGTTACGCCATTTGCATCCGTGCCCCCGATGCGGAGTATGCAGGGAGAAAATGCTCGAGCAAGGGTCTTTAACTGTGGCGACCTGAATGTCAAATGGAATCTGTAGTAGAAACACATCAGGTCATCAATATGAAAAATGCCTGAAAGCATGTCACACTTACACTATCCACCCCATCCCGCCACAACAAAACATAAATCTAAGCTCATGCTACGTTTATCATAACGTCGGTCAGATTGGTTTAACGGGTATTTGAACAATATTACAGTTATATCATGGCGTCTCAGCTTGACGTCAGAACCCACCATTATGTCATGCGGCGGCGGTCTGTAAATAATCGAGTCTGAACCAGACAATCCAGTGATTGATGTCATGAGCATCGATCCACGCAATTGGGATACGATGACATGCATCAACCAAATCAGCGAGCCTAACCACTAATCCTGGTAGCCGCCTTTTACGACAAGCATAGTCGCCTTTTACGGCAAGCATGGGTTTCTGAAGATCTATTCTATCCCGGATCTTCCCGGCTATCGATGCAGTAACAGGTATAGCTATATCTAGTAATTTCAACGAACATTATTAGATACATTACCTATAGATCAGGGGGTTAAAACAGAGATATTGTAAATACGACCGTGTGCATAACACATGCAATGATCACAGTGCATATATTAGGGTAATAATAAACAGTACTGAATGTAAATATTTAGCTGTGATAGGCAATTCTCTGCCATGAGATAGATGCGTAATAATTTAAGTGTTGGCTACATGGCGAAGGCACATGTTCCTAACGGGTAGGACTGTGTGTACCAGAAACCATTGTAGAAAGCAAAAATTATAGTCAGATATCAATTCCTACGATCTGGCATTGATACCTTTGGACATTATCACCTAGGACGTTAACCCGTGAAGATCCGGGTTAGAATAGGTCTTTAGCAACGACTGACCTCGTGTCAATGACAAACTGCTGATAACCTGATAAAACAACTGGTTTACTTCAGTTCAATGATGGGATTTTTTAAATCAGATTGAACTGCTCATGATGGATGCCACCAGTGGAGCAGGATACGCTGACCTTTTCGCATGACCCGTGATGATCCGGGGTAGAATAGGTCTTCAGCAACCCATGCCTGACGTGAAAGGCGACTTTGCTTGCCGTAAGACTAACGGAATCGGGTGGTCAGGCTCACTGACTTGGTTGAAACATGTCATCGATCCCAATTGCATGGATCGATGTTCATGATGTCAATCACTGGATTGTCTGGTCCGGACTCGATTATTTACAGGCCGCCGTCATATACCTGGAATACTGCTGAGTGCGGCGTTAAACAACAAACAAACCTAGGACGTAAGGTGTCATTCTCCAGGACCACTCTTCCTTGCATCCAATTCAAAGCGGACATTGTGTTCATGGGGCTGTGGCATTTATTGAAAGCGGATTCTGTATACTTTAAGTGTATGTGTTGTTTTTTAACATATGTGCCTTCAGTACTTGTCTAGTATTGTCTATTACTGTAATCATTATATATAAAATGTGCACGAGTGCGGAATGCTAACTACAAAGGAAAATTTGAAAGATTTGTAATGTAACATTGGTTTAATGTAATCTACATTACAATTAATACCAGTCAGCATCACTTGCAGATATCAACATCCGCATCAGGAAACACAGCAAACCCGAAGGTCCTTGCTGGCAGCATGAGGAGCCCGCCATAGGCCTTTTGAGGGGGCATGTAGGGGATGCTGTTGTTCACATAATCCAGTCGTTTACCATTTAGTGTCACATTCCTGAAATTACAATGTCAGTGTCATATATCAAACGGTATATCTGTGCCAATAAGACGCCAACCACTTCCCAAACGACGACAACACATCAGCTATTCGGATTACAATGGTTAATAAAATCAACGTGACATTATAGGTCACGTTTATCTATGTAGCGCGTAATGTAAAGGCAAGGACGAAGCGTTATTGTTAGGTGTTATTATTATTATTTTTATCTCTATGGCATGAAATATTGGCAAACCCGACCGACGTTAGCCTTTGTTACAAAGTGTTTAAAGTGTTCTAAATAGTTTCTTTGTGATATCACGTATCCGTATACTCGCCTTGAAGTAAGCTCTATGAACTCTGGTCTAAGCCAGAAGAGATCCATATTCTTTTGGAATTGTGGGAAGGTGACGACGGTGGTGTAGATGTTGACGTTGACGATGTAGACGACAACACTACCCGGCTTGTAGTTGTACACGCTGTGAACAAAATATGTGGAACATTTTGGACAAAAAATGGTTTATATAGTTAAGCACATCAGAATTCGAAGTCTTTAAATTACAAGCACCTCATGAAAATGTGTGACGACAGTGCAGTTATGTTAGATGTTCTAGATGCTGATGATTGAATATAGAGAGGAAGTGACTGAAACATAAATATTTGTCTCCTGCATACTGACTACCCCATCAGCACATCCCAACTGTGTACCTGTTCTGTTTGGCACAGTGTGCGTAGACCCTGAAACTGTTGGTTGAGTTGGTCTGCACAGATAACACTTTATTCCCAACCAGTCTCTTGTAGAGCAAGGTCAGCCAGTAGTCCTGGAAAGTGACAATTGTCACGCAAAGAACATACTCAGATTTATCACATGAAAGTTACAGATAGGGTCATGAGCGGGTGACAGGGTGGCAGGTTTACCAATAATGATCAAATACTGGAAACATTGAACCATAAATTGCCTACGTAAAAATAGATAGAAAGTTTCACGATATCCAATGGTGTCTTTACAGTTAAAGTCAGAGACATTCGGTAAACTGACAACGTATTTCTTTCTGTATTACCGTATTTTGCAAAGATGAGTTTTAGTCAATCCTAATGGAACGAGATGATATCATATTTGTACCTACCGGATAAGGTTCAAACGTGTGCGGTTCGATCAGAGAATAATTTTGTCCATAGTACGATTGTCTCAAAACCCCTTTAAGTCCCATCCTTGAAGCAACCCCGAGGTTGTCTAACCATCTGAAATATTCATATCATTAATAGTCCAGGTAAGTGTAAATCAAAACATTTATGTTTTATGTTCAAAGCGAGTTGAACAAATGAAATGGAGGAGACGATTTTACGTTCAATAGACTATCCATGTCGTCGTGCACATTCATTCATTTTGGCAACTCCGAAAACAAATATGGTCTTCTAACCTGGGGAATCACACATTCAGCCCACCCGTGAAGATCCGGGGAAGAATAGGTCTTCAGCAACCCATGCTTGCCGTAAAAGGCGACTATGCTTGTCGTAAGAGGCGACAATCGGGATTGAGTGGTCAGGCTTGCTGACTTGGTTGATGCATGTCATCGATCCAAATTGCGTGGATCGATGCTCATGATATCAGTCACTGCACTATCAGGTCCAGACTCGATTATTTACAGAAAGCCGTCATATGGCTGGAATATTGCTGAGAGCGGCGTTCAGCTTACTCCTGCTTCAACATCATTAACAAGACAAGAATGTATACCAACTGTATCCTCAGTGTTTTATGTGTGTCTGTGTATTCTGCAATGTCCAGGTCCATATGGTCAATACCCGGAGGGAAGCTGGTACTAAATATAACCTCAGCAGCATGAGTTTGGTTTGGTTGTTTGTTGTTCAAGTTCGCACACAGCAATATTCCAGCTATGTGATGGCGGTCTGTAAATAATCGAGTCTGGACCAGACAATCCAGTGATTGACATGAGCATCGATCCACGCAATTGGGATACAATGCGCATGAGGATAAGGTGGTTGCCATTCAGGTAATTGACTGATTGCCTAGAATACCTTCTTTACAATCCGCACTCCTAAAGTTTATAACTGTCTCGTAAGCGAACATCAATGCACTATAAACTGGCCAATTGATAAACCATTCGGTCGTCACTGTGTAGACCAAGGTTCGAATCCTCACATTGGAAACTTCTATGAAGACCATTTCTGGTGTCCCCTGCCGTGACATTGATGGAATAGTGCTTAAAGCTCATTCAATCACTAACTCGCGCACTACAAATTTGTTTCGCTACAAAAATAAAGTAGACAGACAATTCTCACAGAAAGCCTGCTACATATCTATCAGATATATCAGGTGCTCCCCCGCCATAGAAGGACGATGTCTCCCCAAGCCAAACGGGAGTGTCGGGGTTGGTGGGAGCGGTGACGTTACGCACTCTATGGATGTCAGATATCAGGCTGTCCAGCACCTTGGGGTCGAGGCAGGTGTCCACTGTTACACCGACTTCGTAGGCATAGTACCTAAACATATAAACATTTCAAATTCAACGCAAAGAAAAATTCGTTTTTAAGTGTCCCTACTGCAATGGTTGACAAACGTAGTGCCGTTACATGTGTGGTTACAAAAACCTAATTAGATAAATAAGTAAGAAACTGATATAGCTTAAAACTCACTGGTGAAAGGTGATTCTGTCAACAGCTTTGCTTCCTTCACCTTTGAAGAAACTGTAAAATAGTCAATAGGAATCCCAGCATCAAACTCGTTTCAAAATCCTATTTCGGTATAGAACCTGGAATATGTGACTGAATATGATGTACTGGAGTGGTGCATGGGTCCTCTATATATCGTTTATCACATTGCTGTAATATAGCAGTTGGGTACCATGAGGCCTCACATTTAAATTAAATTTAACAACCCCCATGATGATGCTCTAACCCAGAAAAAATTTTGAACTTCTGTTTTGCACGTTTCTACTTACTTCTCGAACAATATGGATCTCGGTCCTGAGATACCTGTTACATCTGGTCCAATCACCAGCGTGGATTCGAACCCAGGAGTAGACTTGAGGATTTCCCTAAGGTGGACAAAATCTCGCCCAAGCTGTGCTCCAGAAATTGTATTGGTGAAGGGTTCAGGGAAATATTCAGGTTCTAGAGACCAAAGAAACTAGAGTATTATATCAAGAATATGATTATGATTACAGTACATATGTTCGTCATGCTCTACACCTTTTGACTTTGAGATTGAAGAATAACGTGCACATATATATCTTAACGTAGTAAACACGGAGGAATGATCTAGGTACAACTATACATACTTGGTGAAGTATAATATCATCCACAAAGATGTTACGTTGTATGTTCTATTCAATGAGCTGTAGAACTGTTACCATTTCCGAGTTCAAATGCGGGCATCTTGTAGTTCCTGGCATAGCTATAGCTCATCAGTTCTTTGGCGTTTTCAGGGTCCCACTGTCCGTCTTTCCGCTTCAATACATTGAGGCCAAACACCAAGTCCCATCCCACGGCCCTCACGAAGTCATTCAGATTGTCCCATATGGCACCTCAATGATAAAATAGATCTTTATGGGTACATTTCTCAGCTGGAGAAATGCCAATAAATTAACTCGGATAAACAAGCAACATAATGTAACGTACACATAGGTACTCAGTGTTTGCGAACAAACATGGCGTCGCTCTTCTTTTATCGGCGTTTGAGTCAGAATTAATATTAAGTCATTCTTGGTTCAGTTCAAAAGAAATGTTCTCGAAAGACACATTGAACGACTTCGTTTAAGTTAGATACCACCACCAAACCAACGTCCGGCTATGCCTCTCTTCGAAGATATTGATCACGTACAGAAACGGTTTTTGAAGCATGTCGCTATCGAAGCCGAATATCAGTGTCAGAAAACAAATATCTTCACTGCCTGTTTCGACTGACTAATCACTGGCATTGCGACCTAATATTTTAGTGCGCACATTCAAAGGAAAGTTTCGATATAGATTCATGAAAAACATTATAAAATAAAGTGGCTATCGTGGTTGTTTGAGCTTGGATGTTAAAAAATATGTACTTTTGAAGTACAATGATCATTCCTCATAGAACATATTTACCATCCTAAAACACACGTGTGATAACCCCTATATGTCCTTCTTTTGAAAACAATAAATATTCATTTAAACAAATGTAAAGCAGATCATTGATTGACTTGGAGTACAATTTTGAACATTGGCCTATTGTAATCAGTGTAAACTGATTTTGGACCAGGGATAGCAAAAAATTACCACAAGATACTAGCTTCCGCCAAAATCCGTAGGCCCAATGACGAAGTGCAGATAACTAAAAACAAGTAGGTTTTGATGATATATGTCGCCCTACTGTCTGCAATCGCTGGTCCGATTACTTACACTCTTGAATGGGAAATTCCCCCCGGTCCTAGGTAAGGTGGCCTAACTTTGGTTACTGGTGATCTATTCCCCAATTTTATAATGTATTGTTGATTTAAAATGTATTCTTTTAACTGTTCTCAACTAGTTGTAAAATACAAAATGTGATACTCTAGTTATCTTACTGTCCATCGTTGACAGCTTTTTTAATCTAAATATAATTATTATAACTGTTTTGTCACGATATGGCTAAAAGATTACCGATGTGACGTAAAATTTCACTCACTCATTCATTCTGAATGTGTTTGCTGCTTTATGTGCTTGACATTTTTTGTTCTTTGTCTTTGGTCATCGGTCAAGGGGTTTAGTAGCCATATTGGATTCAAGGTTTCACAGTGTGGTTTGGTACATGTCTTTACATCCGTACTCTCTGAATCTACTGCATAAAAAGCTTCCAAACCCTCTGAGAATTTTCTCAATTCATGACACATCAAATATGGATTGCCGGTTTTGGATATCTTTGACATATTGGATTTTGATTTTGATAATTTATTTCTCATAAATTTTACCTTAAATATCATATCTGTTTTGTTTTTGTTTGCATTGTAAATGTTATGTTATGTTTGATTCAAGTTAGTACTCTAATTGAGTACTACTTCTAATAAGCGCCCCACAATTATAGTTTAACCCCCGTTCGCTGGCTAATTAGAGAGCCAAGAGCAATACACAATCTTGTCGCAAATGTCGTCAGTTTTATGTGTATTACCCGTGAAAAACAGGGTTAGAACTGGTCTTCAGCAAACCCATGCTTGTCTTGTCCTAAGCGGTGACTATCGGTATCGTGTGGTCATTCTTGCTGCATTGGTTGATGCATGTATTCGTTTTCAAATAGGCATTTGCTTCGGGGCCTTACGTTGGATAGCATTGGTACAAGCAAACCCTTCGAGGGTTCTAACATGGAGGAACACTCTGTAGAACAACCTTTGACATACTGGCACACGCCAATTTCATAGCGGCGGTTCCTGGTGTTCTACACCGTGTGCTATATAAGCCGAGTCGGCGAGCGCCCGTGTCAACCCAAACCGAGTCGGAGAGCCCTTGCTTAGCGGGGTTCGGGTTCCCGTCTTTGGCTACGTTTGAGCGTCCGCAGGAACGGCAGTAAACTCAATTCCTTCCTTCATTCAAGCAGTTACTGAAGCTCATTTGCTCAGCGCTAGTGGTATTGAAACTGTCGTTTTGTGTCGTTCACGCCCACACCATTGTGTAAGCACCGCTTCTCGTCCACTCATTCGCCCGATTATGTTCAAATGTTGTTTGCGTATGTAGAAAGTTGCGTTCCAGATACCACCAAAATCCCAAGGCCGTGCTTTTGTGTAAACAGGGCCCGACATTGCTGCTTTCAGCTATATTTTACCTTATACTTACTGACGGAATCAATGTCAGGGGTTTG